GGAGCTTACCAGGTCGTGGATGGCATCTTTTACTGGCAGAAAGCGCCTGCTAGTTCTTCCCCCCTCACCACTCTCGACGGTGGTGCAGCTAAGGGGTATACGGGGATCCCCCCAGTGGAGCAGTCGGTAACGATGCAGTTGTGTCCTAATACCGCCTCCTCCTGGCGGGGAAACCCGTCGCTCCCCTCCCAGGCCTGTAGGCACTCGTCTGGTCTGACCGGCAGTGCTTATACGGCTTGTGGACAAGCTGTTTCTGCCTTACACGCTATGGCGTTACTGCAGGTTCATCAGGCCAAAGCACTGAAGGACCTGCACAAGGGTGGTCGCAATCCGGAAGTTCTGAAAGAGCTCCGAACTGCAACTGACCTCGCGCTCTGAGCGACAAAGGTCACCGCGAGTTCTCTGGGTCGTGCGATGTCCACACTTGTGAATGCCACAAGGAACGCCATTCTCTGGCTGTGACTGGCCAACATGAGGGACGCCGACAGAGATCGGTTCCTCAATGCCCCTGTGTCCCAGACCGGCCTCGTTGGCGACGAGGTCGAGAGCTTTCCCCAGCAGTTCTCGGCTGCGCAGAAGCAGACTGAGGCAATTCGTCACATCCTGCCCCAGCGGGCAGCTGCTGCCTCCACCCGGTCGCAGCGCCCCAGTCTGCTCATTGCCGAGGGAGGCCCCCTGCATCCACCCCTGCTCCCGCGCCGCATCCACAGCGGCCTCCCACCAAGCAGCGCCGTGGAGCCAGGCATAGGCAGGCCGCCCCGCCCATCCAGGCCCCCATCAAACCTGGTGGTAAGCGAAAGAGCAAGCGGCCCTGAGATGGGCGACCCAGGGATGGAGGAAGTTGCTCTTCGGGAGATGGTGAACGCACCACTCCCTCCCCCGGAGGAGGGCCGGGTGGAGAATCTTTTGTTTCGTTTTGTCCTGCCGTCGGCCTCGCGGTCAATGGCACCCAAATTCTCGATAAAAGAGCAGTTTCCTCTATCTCTGGGTCCCAAGAGGGCACAGAGAGTCACGGACGGACCAACACCGGACCACACTCATCCTCCTTTGTCACCAGCAGGCAGCAACGGGTGGTTCGAGAGCATCATCAAAGGCCCTACTCACGCACCCTCTGCCCAGCTGTGGAACCAGGTAAGCGTTGCACTGCACACTCAGACCCCTCTTCGGTCCACCCACGAGCTGCCCGAACCAGGTCCATGGTTTCCACCTCGCTGCCCCACTGCGGGTACGGCGGTGGTTGCGCTAGTCCCGCTTGCATGGTATCTGGGATGCCTGGCTAGCGCTACCTGGCGCGTCTCGCTGGCTCCATCACGACATGACTCGTAGTGACCGACTGAAAGGGAACGTCTCAGTTACGTATGTAACCCTCGTTCCCTGAAGGAGGGAACGGAGACGTCACGTCCCGTCACCACGGCTGCTGTACCACCGCTGGGCAGCCGGGTTACCAGCTCGGCTCCTCAGCGAAAACCTAATATATGTTGCACCTGCTGCCTATTTATGCTCACGCTGTCATCAGCGGCAGCTTGATGCAATCATCGCATGCCAGTGTGCATTGGCTCATTTAGTTTACACTCGAAGTAGATTGGTCTCTCGAAGCGAGATCCCAATTCGTCGGTCACGACGTGACGTCTCCGTTCCCTCCTTCAGGTAACGAGGGTTACATACTTAACCAAGACGTGTTTTTTTTTTTTTTTTAAGAAAACAGGCAGTTAGTAAATGAATAGAGTGCAAGTCTAAAAGGGCAAGTTTTTTTTAAAGAACAGAATTAGTATAGAGTGCTACCGTTAGAGGGTCAAATAAAGATGGAAGAGATGTGTTTTTAGTCGATTCTTGAAGAGACGGGGATATGATGTGCGTGTTCATAGATTACACTAACATTAGGCAAATTTTAGCCTTACCCTGGAGTCGGTTCACCCTTCGCCTATGATCAGAAGGTATTTTATTTCAGCCGTGGAAAGACGTCAATACACACCATTTTTTAAGTTTGTCCAACCAAGTTAATCTACTCTCCTGTCTGATTTGTTTGTCAGACAAAATGGCAGATTTGGCGTTATGATTGGTCAGATCGCCTGTCAATCAATCAAGCTTCCTGTGAAGGGTCAATTAAGATTCATGTTGCAATCATGGGATGTCAATTCAATGTTTCCTTGTTCTTCAAATATTCAGAGGGTTGGTAACTCTGAATCTCTTACTTCTTATGACTAAGGCTATATCTATTTTAATTCGGAAACATTTGAAAATGGCATTTTCCATTTCAAAATGCTCTGTCCACACTAGCATTTTCCAAAAGTTGCTTGTCCACACTGGAACATCAGAAAACACTTAAATCATCTTACTGCGCACATGTAAATGGTAATAAAAGCTCACTAAAATGATACAGAGAGACTAGACATACAGTATTAAAGTTCTTGCACTGTTCTTCTGACATGATCATTTTATTAGAAAAATATCCAAGGTCAAACTCAAAATCGCTATTCACTATATACACTAAAATCTCAAAATCTAATTTATGGAAGCCCTTTTCTGCCACAGAATAAAGAAATAAAAAGGTAATTGACTCTTTGCAAAGACCTGCCCCCCTTCGTTACTGTTGCTATGTCTATCCCACACATTATGTTCTCACGCAGTGAAAAATACATTGTGGAGCAAAGAGAAAACTGACAACACACTGACAGACAAAACAGAGCAGGCTACTTCTGGTCTCAAATTCAAAGTCTCAGTTTCAAATTTTGTCATTTTTTAAAGAAATTAAAACAATAAATACCATTTTGTGGCTCTTTAATGTGTCGTGCTATAGCGCCTCAGTTCAAGCGGCACGTGAACCGTTCATCTCTTCTTCTTTACTAATTATAGTCTTGAAATAAACATGAATGAACATCAGAAGGTATCTTGTTTCAACCGCAGAAAGATGTCAGTACACACCATTTTTGAAGTTCAAGTATAAAAAATAAAAAGAAAACAAAAAGATTAGAGAAGCTAGTGTTTTTTTTTTTTTTTTTAAGAAAACAGGCAGTTAGTAAATGAATAGAGTGCAAGTCTAAAAGGGCAAGTTTTTTTTAAAGAACAGAATTAGTATAGAGTGCTACCGTTAGAGGGTCAAATAAAGATGGAAGAGATGTGTTTTTAGTCGATTCTTGAAGAGACGGGGATATGATGTGCGTGTTCATAGATTACACTAACATTAGGCAAATTTTAGCCTTACCCTGGAGTCGGTTCACCCTTCGCCTATGATCAGAAGGTATTTTATTTCAGCCGTGGAAAGACGTCAATACACACCATTTTTTAAGTTTGTCCAACCAAGTTAATCTACTCTCCTGTCTGATTTGTTTGTCAGACAAAATGGCAGATTTGGCGTTATGATTGGTCAGATCGCCTGTCAATCAATCAAGCTTCCTGTGAAGGGTCAATTAAGATTCATGTTGCAATCATGGGATGTCAATTCAATGTTTCCTTGTTCTTCAAATATTCAGAGGGTTGGTAACTCTGAATCTCTTACTTCTTATGACTAAGGCTATATCTATTTTAATTCGGAAACATTTGAAAATGGCATTTTCCATTTCAAAATGCTCTGTCCACACTAGCATTTTCCAAAAGTTGCTTGTCCACACTGGAACATCAGAAAACACTTAAATCATCTTACTGCGCACATGTAAATGGTAATAAAAGCTCACTAAAATGATACAGAGAGACTAGACATACAGTATTAAAGTTCTTGCACTGTTCTTCTGACATGATCATTTTATTAGAAAAATATCCAAGGTCAAACTCAAAATCGCTATTCACTATATACACTAAAATCTCAAAATCTAATTTATGGAAGCCCTTTTCTGCCACAGAATAAAGAAATAAAAAGGTAATTGACTCTTTGCAAAGACCTGCCCCCCTTCGTTACTGTTGCTATGTCTATCCCACACATTATGTTCTCACGCAGTGAAAAATACATTGTGGAGCAAAGAGAAAACTGACAACACACTGACAGACAAAACAGAGCAGGCTACTTCTGGTCTCAAATTCAAAGTCTCAGTTTCAAATTTTGTCATTTTTTAAAGAAATTAAAACAATAAATACCATTTTGTGGCTCTTTAATGTGTCGTGCTATAGCGCCTCAGTTCAAGCGGCACGTGAACCGTTCATCTCTTCTTCTTTACTAATTATAGTCTTGAAATAAACATGAATGAACATCAGAAGGTATCTTGTTTCAACCGCAGAAAGATGTCAGTACACACCATTTTTGAAGTTCAAGTCCACCAACATTAATCTACTCTCTGGTCTGGTTTGTATGTCAGACAAAAATGGCAGATTATGATTGGTTTACCTGTAAGGGTAAATTGTGACTTTTCACAATTTGGACGTTGTTTTTCCCAATTCTGAGAATAAAAAAACTATCAGAATTATGAGATCTAAAATCAAAATTCTGACGTTTTTCTCACAATTTTTCTATTTTTTTCCTAAGTTTATATCTCGCAGTTCTGTTTTGTTTGTTTGTTTCTGCCATGAAATAAAAATAAAAAGGTAACTGACTTTTTATCTCAATTCTGACCATTTTCTTCTCAGAATTGTGAGTTTATATTATTAACTTATTGGCAGTTTATTTGTACTTTTAAAGCACATACTGTATAATAATCAGCAAATTAGGATTTTTTTGAGGCAAAAGTCATTAGTTAATGGTTTGTTAATGGTGAGAATTGGACATTAATATAAAGTGACTGAATTGTGAGATAAAAATGTGCAATTACCTTTGTTATTCTGTAGCAATGCTTGTATAACCATAGATATCTTTGAGTACACTATGCGTCAAAAGACTAAACATCATCGTTTTCAAATACCTCCATTTTCAGTCGACACTACAACACGAAAATGGCATTTTCAAATTTATCCACTTGGGAAGAGTGTTTCAAAAAGCTGTAGTGTCTACAAATGTCTCAATGTGGATGGAAGGCCAAAACGCAGATAAAGAGATGCATTTTCAAACCTGAAATTCTGTTTTATGTTGTTGACAGCTCTGTGTGAGGATCGAGAAGAACCCTGGCCTTGGTTTCAGCATCTCAGGGGGAATCAGTGGACAGGGGAACCCCTTCAAGCCCTCGGACATGGTAAGACCATTTCACTCTCGGTTTTAAAGGACAGAGCATAATGTAATATGCTAATTTCAGCATTTCATTCTCAGAAATCACATTAGAATGATGCTTTATATAGAACAAAATCAAAGCCATCTCTCTAGTCAGTTAGTAAAGTGTGTCTCTCAGTAGAGTTACCATGGAAACATGCGCTACTGCAATGCACAGCCTTGCACACCAGCTGACTGCATTACCTTTTAACCTTTTCATGTCTTGGCAACATTTGGCGATAGTTAAAACAAAAGTGTTTTGTGACTCAGATGTTGCTGAAGCACAAGGAAAAACACCATGTTTCCATTTCATGTGTAGCTGTATGTTAGGAATGTGTATTAATATCATACTGTTTAGATTTGCATGAAAAAGTGTTGTTCTTTTTTCCCCATAAGGTTTTCAGCATAGCATAAAGACTGCTTGTGTTGTGTATTGTTGCTTTGGGGTTCTTCTCTATTCATGATGGAGCCGCAAATGGCAGCCAGGACGCTGAGCTCCGCAATTCTTCTATTGCACTATGTTTGTACTTTCTTTCTACACTGGAAGCTCCTGTCGTCAAGTCAAATTCCTTGTGTGTGTAAACATACTTGGTAATAAAGCTCTTCTGATTCTGATTCTGATTCTGATTCTAACAAGCCGAATCCCTGTGAGCCCTGAAGAAATTATGTAAAGTTTGGTGGACTCTCAACATGTGGCGCCAATAATAAGACTTGATATGTGTTGACATGGCGCATACTGATGGGTCCCACATGTAATTTTAATCTTTATGCTTTATAATCTCTGCCTTGATTCCAGAACAAAAACAGTGTCACTGACAAAACTCTAAAATTAAAAATAAATTCATCTTTTTACATTTGTTTTTCAGTTTAACATTTGCATTTATTTGTAAAAGGTAATACTTTTATAGATGAAGGTAATTATTTAATAGATTGCCTTTGAATTTATTAGAAAAAAGAGAAACAAAAGAAAATCTAAATCCAGATTAAAAGGCAAAGATTCTAAACCATAGTCCCCATGTGGTTCCTAACCTCATATCACTTTTGACTTATAGGGTATCTTTGTTACTAGGGTACAGCCTGATGGACCTGCCTCCAACGTTCTTCGACCAGGGGACAAAATTCTGAAGGTAACACTGTTCTCCATCACACTGTCCCACAAGTTGCGACAATGCATCTTCTGCTACGCTGCCAGTGGAGGGCTTTGCATGTGCCATTAAATGTCCAGTGTGTATGTGTGTGCGTGTATGTTTGTGTCTCAAACAAGTGAGCATGGACCTCTTTTGTTATGTTTGACCTACTTTGACATGCGTTATTGTTGTGTTTTAAAAAAACAGATTTTTATAACATTTTGTCTTGTAAGTCAGTTAAATGGCATGAAATATATTTGACATTATAAAATATAAATTGATGAATTTTATTAATCATATATTACAAAATCAATGTAAATCAGTCAAACAGACTAATCCACACCACCAACTATCTCAATTTACATTTAACTTTGCGATACAGATTGAATCTGGTCTTTTTAAAGTGTAGTGAAATATATACCTTCACCTCCCAAAAATTACTAATTAAATATTATTATTATTATTATTATTAACAATTTACAGTAAGTTTTCATTTGTTAACATTAGTTAAACAATACTTGCACAGCATTTATTAATATTAATCAATGTTAATGTCAACATTTACTGATACATGTTTAAATTCAAAATTTATATTGGGTAACATTAATTAATGCACTGTGAACTAACATGAACAAACAATGAATTACATTTGACTAATTAACAATGATTACATGAAAATATATTGCCCATTGTTAGTTCATTTAGCTAATGCATTTAACATATTGTAAAGTGTTACCTATTTCTTATTATTATCAGTGTTGAAAATAGTTATGTTGCTTAGTATTTTTATGGAAACCGTGATCAATTTTTCTTTGATTAATAGAACGTTCAAAAGAATAGCATTTAAAACACTGTAAATGTCTTTCCTGTGATTTTTGATCAGTTTAATAATGCATCCTTAGTGAATTAATTTTGAATTTAAAATAAATCTTACTGAATTCTAGTAACCCTTTTCGATTGTAGTATGTATAAAGATACTTATAGAGTATATAAAAATTTAATATTCGTTTTATGTAGACAATTTCCAAAAAAATAAATAAAAGCACATATAAAGTGCCATGCAATCATCATCATCATCCAAGCCTATAAATTGCTGTTCAGATAGTATCTGTCTACATATTTTGCCAAAAGCAAAAAGCCTGGCATTGCTGCCTTACTTATACAGGGGCAATCCAGCCTCTGTGTGCCTAAACAACTTCATGGGAAGTTATTGGGTTGTCTCTGGTTTTATGTGTTGCTGTCAATCTACACCACTAGAATGGTCTGCAGAAAGCAGCTCCTTCTCTTTCCACAGATCCAGAGTTAAAGACCAGCTTCTTTCCACCTTCTCTCCTTTTACAGCATGATCTCCCGTGTGCATCTCTCTCTTTTTTCTCTCCCTCACAGTGTATATCTCTTTATCCTCTTTGAGCTAGGCCTGCTCCCAGCCCTCCTGTGCTGCCGTGCCTGTTCCTGCCCCCCTCCATTCCTCCCTCCTTTCTTCCACACCTCTCCCAGTTCATTTTGTTTACCATGTGCTTCATTCTTGCATTGCAGGCCAACGGACATAGTTTCTTACACATGGAGCATGAAACTGCAGTGTCTCTTCTGAAGAATTTTCCGAAAACTGTGGACTTGGTAATCTTAAGGGAGAGCACAATATAAATATTTTTATAGCTTAAAGACTCACCCAGATGGAACACAGAAACTTGTACATCTTCTTTTTATCTAGGAACAATTTTGCCAATTGCTGGACCAATGGCAAATTCCAGTGCCAAATGTACACTAGAGGACATATAATAACGTTACATATGGCTCACACATTCTACACGAACATACATTGGTTGAAATCTTTCGTTGATGTTGCTGATATTCTTCTTTATCTCAGCCTGTGGCTGTAAGTGGGTGCATTTTTTCCTGCTTATTTATATGGCGTATTATTTTGTACCTATTTTTCCTAGCAGCTTTTCGGTTTAATCTTGGAGCATGAAAGCACATCTGCTTTTAAGGACATTTACCCACCATAACACTGCCTCAACTTTGTAAATGCCTTGTGTAAATATATACATTTACAACTCAAATGTGTTGAGAGCGTAGAATGTGAATGAAAGACACATTGATGATTTTCTAACACATCGATGAGCTTTTGTAACAACTTAGAAGAGACATCCTTCTCACGAAAACAACAATTTAGGGAAATCGAAAAAGTCCCCTTTTAATCTTGATAAACCCTAACCTTCTGTATTTGCACAAATCAAATGACAGAAATGAATCCCTAAGCAATATTTCTTCCATTTGTGTGGTTTTCCTGCAGCACCCTCTATTGGTATTCATGGGTTTTTCCTAGCCCAGATCAGGGTGGGTTTTGTTCATTTGCTAAGTAATGTGAATGTACATTTCCATGTTTGTTTGGTTTTTTATTCCCACGTACCTTTGTTGGCTGCCAGGAAAATTCATACACATGTGGCAGTTTATTGGCAACACAGTTTTCTATATAAAAATGTACTTTCATATCACATACTACAGTTTAAGTGAGGAAAAAAAGGCAAAAAAAGCTTAATTCCAGTTGCTTTGTTGTTGTTACGCTGCTTTAAGGTTTTTAAATATTTTTTTAACGGAATAACAAAGGGAATTCCTGTCATAATAAACCGGACTAGATACAGTGTACACATGTAAGGCTTTACTGATTAGAGCATGCTTTCACTCTTAAACTTGTTTTATTAGGATGCTTATTAGGGGTCAATGTGTTTTGGACAAAGCATTTTTACATAACCATTGTTTTACATCTCTTTTGGCCTTTTTTTTTTTTTTTGAATCCGTCATTGTGACAAACAGTGCCATAATATCCCTCAAAAAAAACAAAACAAAACAAAAAAACCCTGGGCATGTTTCAAATGTTGCTAAAAATGTAGCATTTAGAAGGAGTTTCGAGCCGAAATGCACTCTGAAAGACCCCGACACAACATCCACTGCATTTAGCTTCAGAGAAATATATGGATGATGCAATTAATTGTTCAAATACTATTGTGAAAGAACATTTGATAATGATTATTTTTACTAAATGTTTTCAAATAATGGTTTCTAATATATTGATATAATTAGCTATGCTCAAATTGTAAAATTGTATAAAGAACAAATCCAATGTATGGACAGAGAGTTAGATTGTGAAGGAAGGAAACACTAGAAACAAATATGTACAATTCTTTCTAAAGTAATTGTGAATTTGTGTCATAAACATATATATGTATATGAATATCCAAATGGTCATTTTTGTATGTGTTTAAAGACCTATTGAATATAAAAGGTAATATATGGTACTATTCAGTCTAATTGCAGTATTGATGTAAATAACTATGAATGGAGACATTTAAATAATTTATTCCAATAGATTGTGAATGTACTTAAAGCTTTCTGCAGTATTAAGACTTACTGAACTTGAATGCCGTTTCATTTTTGTGTAAAAAGTAATTATATCTAGAAGAAATTATTCAATTTAGTTCAAAAGAATTAGTGACAATTTATCATATCATTTATTTGCACATGCAAGTTTACTCCTTCCAATTTTTTTCTGTATTACCGCAAATATGTAATTGATGACATATATTCTGTGTCTAGAATGCATTTTGCAGATGATATATGTACATACTTAAAATAAATTTTAGTTAAAAAAAATTTAAATAACAAACCTGTATAAAAATGAGAAGAAAGTCCAATTCTGTTCAGCAAATATTGGAGCCATTTTCGGCTTTGGAGTACAGATTTTTTTCAGTATCTAAGAGGTGTTTTGAATAATGTATCTTTATTGTACAAATAATAAAAATGTCACTATTGTTACTACTGGTCATTCTGTGGTCCTTTATAGACGATAAAAAAGGCTTTATTTTCACAATTTATTACTAGTGCTTTCATTATATTGGAAAATATAAACATTCACACTGAAAAGCAATTATAAAATGTAAAACTTCAACACGAACAACATTTGTTGGTTCATTTGGTTGACAAAGTCTTAAATTCATTACAACGCATGCCGAAGCAATGCCATTTTTAAGGGTAGAGTGACAGGTAATATGAATTAAAAAGTGGCAGGAGATGATTTATTATTGTGTCTTGTTGTTTTATACTGTCAGGGAGTGCAAATAAAGTGTTATGGCACAAGAACTGATTTTTTATCAATGATGGTTGAAGTTACATTAAACGTGAAGATTATGTTGGAATACGACTTCGGAGATACTCAAGGACAGCATCTGTTCCTTTACTGAGGATGGCAGCTCTTGGATTACGGAAAGGATTCCCATCAAGCATTAGAGCCCTAAAGATATAGGATGAATCATAAGATCATACTTAACTAACAGGCTCAAGACCTTTGTAATAGTATTCAGTTTTTCAGAGTTTTTGTCCAGATTTTCTGTTGAATAGCCTGCACGTTTGTTCTCGCTGCCTCATTTTCATTAAAAAAAGGTCAAATGTGGAGTCTACATACTAAAGTCCACAGTTTGCTAGAATCAGAAGGAAAATGACGCTCACCTCAGACTGGTACAGTTGCCAAGTTCTGGTGGCACTTGCATTATATCATTGTTGGACAGATCCAGAGTAGATAGATTATTTAGGGTCTTCATTTGGACTGGATCAATGCCTCCAACTTGATTGTTACTGATTAAAATGGTCTCAAGGGATGAGATGTGGTACAGCACTTCTGGGAATGACTTGAACCTAAAGAGAAATGTAAATAACTATTCAGACCACAAAAAAACACCAAAACAGTGATATAATTTATATTTTGTCAAACTGATTTGATATACAGTATTTGTTCATTTTACATGGCGGGATGAGGGTCAAAATGGTAGAACCTACCTATTAAAAGACAAAATAACACTCCGCAGCTTGGTTAAGCCTTCCAGCTCCATTGGCAGTGAGATCAATAGATTGTTTCTAAAAAAAAAAAGGCATTAGTTCAGAGCACTTTGTTATGGTAAATTATGGTAATATGTCACACTTAAGTGACCTCAGAGCTCTTATTTATTTAAATCATATTCATTAAGTAATATTTTGCTTTGAAGTGACATTTATCAGAGCACAAAATATCTGAAAAAAGAGATTAGTCGTTTAAAAATCCAGATATTACTCTTTTTCTTTGCAAAATTTCCATCTACTATACAATTACTATAGTTTTTTACCCTCTGTGCCATCTTAAAAATTGCACCCTAGCTAAAGGAGTAACATTTTGAGAGGATGTGGCAAAAACAACTGTGAACCCAACGAATTAGCAAAATAAGATCTTTAAATTGGAGCCTTAAAAGGACATAAATTAAGTTAAGGATTACCTGAGATCTATATGTACCAGTTGTTTCAACATGGAAAAGTCCACCGGAATGCTTGTTAGCTTGTTAAAGCCAAGATTAATGTCTGCTAGGGTGTCCTTTAACTGCAAAATTCTGCAGGAAATGAGAGAATAGTAAGTGTTCAGTAACTCTTTGAAACGCTTCTAATGAGATGAAATGGTCATATGTATTACCTGGATGGAACTGCCATCAGCTGATTTTTGCTGAAGTTTACGTTGGCCACAGGACTATTGTCAACTGCATCAAACACCTCGTCTGGGATGGATGCCTCATGTTTCTCACTAATTAAAATGGCAGGTTTTTACTGTTAAATACACAAAATCCTGCTAAGTCACTTGGGAGGATTTTTCATTACCTGTAGTCTAGTGTTTTGAGAGTTTTGATGGCATGCACATTGATTTTAGCTTGGCTTGGGAGGGTCATTGCTGTTTTTGGCTCTTCTTTCGAGCCCCCATCTGGTTGCTCTACATTTCAAACAAGACAAAACCCGCAATGATGTTACAAAAGAGAACATTCTTATAGTCCTTTTAATAATAAATGAGGCTGAAAATCCATACTAAATCTTTACATGATTATATAGACATACCTTGTACACGACTTCTGAGATATTTCAGGAGTTCACCAGTGCCTTTCTGCATATAATATATTGTTATATAAGACTTTCTGATCCAGATTACTAAGAACAAAATGAAGACAGGAAAAGCCCTTTTGCAGCTGTGATATGTTGAATACTCACAGTCAGGACATCTCTGCGGATTCCCCTCAGTGGATTGCCCTCCAAAGTCAAAGACTTCATCTTGGGTAATGTGCCAAGTCCACACGGCAGACTGTTTCACCAAAAAGAGAGACTTATTGAAAAAAAAAAAAAGAGGCTTATTAGGATTTCCTTTTTTCTGTAGAACACAACAGAAGATATTTTGAAGAATGCTGGTAACCAAATCATTTTAATGACCACTGACTTTCATTTTGCTGCATTGTTTCTGGTCGTTGAACGATTATGGGATTTATATGAATATTATGGAACCAGTTTGTTTAAAAAATATTCAAAATACCTTCTTTTTTAGGTTCCGGATATAGAAGGTCATATAGTTTTGGAATGAAATGAGCAGAGTAAATAACATAATTTTCATTTTTGGGAGAGACATCACTTTAAAACTGCCACTCTTACGGGTACAGTGTTTTCTGTTTACTGAGTTATAAAAAGGAATGATAGTCCATAATTCTGTTCCTCAGTGGAACATGCCGCAAAACGCAGCACTATATTTTACAGTATACATACAATAACATATTCCCAGCACCTGCTGATATCATTGTTAGTAAGATCCAGGCGTTCCAGGCCTTGAAGTAGGGTTATTTCTTCAGGAAGGCTCTTCACCTTGTTATCTCGGAGCTCCAAGAAACTCAGAGCACTCAAGTGCTTCAAATGGTCTGCCTTCAATATCTCAATCTGGTTGTTCCCACAGTGGAGTTCCTTAATATATATAAACAGCCTCTTGTTAGCCTTCTTAAGACAATCGTAACTTATTCTACCACATCAGTGGTTGTGGTTTACCTTGAGTGTTGAGCAGGGCAGTTCGGGAAGGAAGTGTAACTTGTTGTGTCTTAAGTAAAGCTGCTCAAGGGACTCCATCTGAGCCAGGACAGGAGGAATGCTCTCCAGCTGATTCCGGGAACAGTCCAGCATTCTCAGGTCTGTGAGGGTTAACAGAAGATGGATGAGTTCACAGGTTAATCGATAAACATGATTCACATTCGCACTTGCTACTGTCAAAACATACTTTTCATTTGACTGATGGCAGGAGGGAGACTCTTGAGCTTGTTGCAGGACAAATTCAGTTTGACAAGATTTTTCAGGTTCGCCAGGCTTTCTGGAATGTCCATTAGATGATTGTTGGAGAGATCCTTTAAGAGGGAAGAGTAGGAAACAACTAAATAATGGGAATACTTAAGTACACATATTCAGCATCTTGAAATCACAGCAACATCTTTAATTCCTAAGATTTAACAAATGATCATCATAAAGCAGTGGATTATTTCACACAGATGTACAGTACACTACAGATCAAAATATAAGTGACTTCTTTCAAAAACATTAAAAAATCTTACTGACCCCAAATTTTTGAACGCTAGTGCGTATATGTTAAATGAAAATATAACTACTATCTCAGGATCAAGGCTTTTATAACGCTGTTGGAAAGTTAAGAGTTTGTTGCTGGTCAAGACAAGATCTCAGTCACTTACAAGGTCATCTAAATTAACCAGCTGCCCCAAATCCTGGGGAATCTGTTCAATCAGATTCTGTTGCAGATGAAGACATCGCAGGTTTGTAAGTCGCCAAAGACCCGAAGGCAATTCTGTCAGTTTATTGAGACTGCAGAGAGGACCAGGTATTATGACACAAGTTTTACACTCAAAATAGGTAGATTTATTGCTCCATACACAGTGTTGCCCCCATCAGTACCTCAATATGAGCTTCTGTAGTTGCTCTAGATCTCCAATAGAATCTGGCAGTGAGCTTAGTTGATTGTCATGGATCTGGAAAAAGGCAACACAGAAAGCAGCTACAATATAAACAAAATTTAGACCCACAAACATGGAAATTAAAATACTAAGACATTATAAATTTTTTTCAAGTAACATTTATAATTTTTTTTTTTTCTAAAAATTAAATATGAATATTGTGGAACCTGTACATAATAAAATAAAATATAACTATGTAATAGTAATGTGTGGTTTATAGAAGTAGCTACATTTATTTAACCATAGGAAAGTAGCCATCCATATTTCTTTGCTAAAGAATAGAATAAAAAGAGTTGACATGCAGGGTTTAAAACATTCTCAAACAAAATGAGTTGTGCAAAGACCTACATCCAGGACAACCAAGGCAGAGAGGAGTTTGACGTCTTCAGAGAGGCTCTGGAGTTTGTTGGAAGACAGCAGAAGTTTGGTCAGATCTGTCTTTTCCCACCACCGATCTGCAGCTCCAAATGACAAGTTCTGCTGAGCTTCCTGAGGTGTGTCTGTGTTCAGCCTCCACACACTCTGAGGAACTGAACCCAAATACAAGAGCATACTTACTGCAGAAGCCTACAGAAATTCATAACAGTAAACATTTCATCCCCCAATATACAACTGTTGCTACAGCTGTTGTTGTTATTGTATGTGAGTCGCGATAAGATCTCATTCAAACTTTTTGGACAGAAACCTGAACAAAATCTTGGCATTTTAATGTATTTTCCCATGCCATTAATAATAAACGTCATATCTGCTGGAGCCACAAACTACGTTTGCTATGGTAATTTTTGTGACTTTATGTCACTGGTGTCGGGTAACGTTAGTGTTTCACGTTACTGTTACCTTCAGTTAGACCGCGCCCGGATAGATTGAGCTGTCCGCTCTTTCTAGCAGCTTTCAGTAAACCATATGGGACAGGGCAGTCTTCTTTCTCCTGCCTAAATCCCGCTCTAGAGTCCACATGTGCTCCTCGTTTGAAACGAGACATGAATGCGAAATATGAGATTAAAACACCTGTACACGCGAAAGAGGTTGTAGTGCTGTGAAGTAAACGTCAACGATTGTAAACTGTAACTATAATAAGGGGCCTCCAATTTTTTTAAAATAAAAGTCCTGAAAAAGGAACGTTTTCACCCTGTGACATACAAATATAAATAGTATATAAGATATTTCTACTATAATTTAGAAATTGTAAAATATTACTAATATTTTCCAATATAGTAGAAAGCTTTTTATGATTTGTTGACCCTTTTATAAGAAACATCAATTACACCTTCCGCTCCCAATAGATGTTGACATTAAATACAAAACATTTTCCTCCTTAATGTTTCAACCGTTCCCTGGTTTGCTTATACAGTATTTTGAAGCTTTATGAATGTACAGTACACATAATGACCCATTAAGTCCACGTGTAGAATCCAGTATGGTTATATGATCAGCAGATGGTGCTATAAGTGAACAACAGCTGTTATGCAGCCAGACTTCATGATATTTCCACTCATCTATAATAAAGTTAAATAATAAAGTAGATATAGCTTTTTAAAACCTTTTTTTTGTGTAATATATTAAAGTAAAAATAGTATATTGAAGAGAAATGTCATTTAAATAATAATAATAACATAAAATATTATTATTAATATTATTACATAACAAATCTATTTGATATATATTTGAATAGCTCAAGCTTTATGCATACTGCACTTGAATATAATGTTAAATTACATATAAAATAATACTTAATTATTCATATTTATTTTTTAATAACACTTAAACATTATTATTATAACACAGGCTGAACACACCTGATTATGCATGATATATTATAATATACCTGATTATATTATTATAACACACCTGAACTCTAGAAAGTGTCTTCTTCAGGGTCATTTTACAATATGAACTTTTCAAAAACATAACTGGAGAATAACAGATCTGGACTAAAATAAAATCTTGGACATCTCAACATAATTTTCAAATAACATAAGACCGATGAAAATGCAATACTCTTCAGTCAATAATAAGTAATAAACATGTTTTATCATTTGCCTGCCAATCATTAAATCATTATGCTGCAGTGAAGAACTTCTCTGAACAAATCTTAAGATGCTTGTTTAGTTAAAATAAGTGACAATATACTGTAATACTTGAGCAGACGCACTGGCCTGGCAACTAAATATTAGTTATATCTCAATCATTTCATTAAGAAATTGCAAGACAAAGCAGACATTAATGTAGGACATTCATGTGTCAGCACATATACACTGATATGGTATCTGAACAAATAAAAATAAATCTCTCAAACACACCATAAAGCAAGAAAGCAATTTAATGATACTGTGTTAAACAATGTGTAAATCATCAGCTGGAGCACAATTGTGGGTTTTATGCAAAAGATTCTTATTAAGCCCCATGCGCTCAGAATTTAATTTTGAAGAAGAAAAAAAAAAAACTTTTTGAATGTTTTAATGAACAGTATTGCTGCTCATTTATCTCATAGTGTAGTTTCACCTCATTCACATGATCTGTATGTATCATTTTTGGAATTTAAGTTTCACAGAGAAAGGCAACCAAATTGTTGCCTTGCTAATAGAGTTTGAGAACATTGTTTAGTAAAAGAAATTTAACACTTGCATTGCAACAATACTAACTAAATGCATGTAATGGACAATGTGGCAACAAAACAGACTGAACAAGCATTGAAATGAAATACTCCTCCTCCCCCTGATATGAAAGCATTGCTGAGTTTATAACAGCTCAAAAGCGTATTTCATCTCAACGACTACTTATTAGATTGGTCAAAAAATATTTTGGATTTTAATTGCATTATCACAGTATGTTGTTGATTTAAGCAAGCAAGAATCAGTTTGAATGCGAGAGGAAAAGAACCTTTCAGTAGTACAACTCCAGTGCATGCTGCATTCAACTGCATGATACTAGTTGCAAAAATCAGCAAAGAGGAAAATGCTAGACACAGCATATTCCCTGATATGGCATGTGCCTTCAAGTAGTTCATAACATAATAAAATGTCGGTTTTAAAAGCTGCAATAAACATTGTGCAATAAATATGTAACAGGCAAAGCATATGCACTGATATGGCTATTGCCCTCAGTAATTTCAGAGTAGAAATAATACAGATGGTCATAATAACAAATCAGCTTTGGTTTAAACTTGGTTTAAAAAAAAAAAGACTTTAACCAACTCTTTGCAGTTCCGAATTTAAGACGGTCCCCAAAATGTCCCTAGACCCACTTAGAAAGCTTATCAACCGTACTAGGCACGTACTATGTACCATTACAATCACAGATAAAAGGCATTGCTATTGCTTAAGCATATTGTAGCTTTAGATTTAGCGATTTGATTTGAACTTGAATCACCTAAATACTAGAAATTTCGGCATGAGTATGAAGATCAGAGTCGAGAAGGGATGAAGTGACTGGGAACACTTCTGTGGCTGGCAGACCCGCTACAAAGCCAACAGAGACACCAGGGAGCTCACAATGGACATCAGCAATAGTGAGGATGAGGAAAACACTGTAAGAGAAACACAAAGTGAAAAGACTTATTAAAAGTATCCAGGGATATATATATAGAGAGAGAGGCCTGTTGATGAGAGCCGTACCTGTTGATGAAGCTGAACACTCCAAGGCTATTACGGCATCCAGGTAGCTCTGGCCAAGCCATTCCTCATACGTCTTCCTCTCTCCTACACCAATTAAAGTGATAGTTGAATCCTTGAAAATCAAGTCGGATCCCTCATAGGGTTTGGAGTCAAACATCTTGAAGCCTGAGGCAGCATTAACTCCAAAGAAATTCTGAAAGGTGCAAACCAAAAAGTCATACAAACAAGGACAACTCCATTTTCAAAAGACATTTGGATTTACATACCTGGGCTTTGTCCAGGAGGCCAAAGATGACGTGGTGGTTGGTATCGGGTCTTATCATAACAGCGTGGGAAGGGACACGGGCCAAGTTGCACTTAGTGTACTGAGTGACTTCAGCACGAGAATCCTGAGAACAAAGCAGCTGAAATTCACGGGAATCCAGGTGTACCGCCCAAGAATCTGTATTGTTTCCTGGAAATAACAGTTCTGACATGAGAGAACTACTAGAGACTTTTACACATGATGTAATGGTCTGCTTGCTGCATGTAAAATGCATTAATTTACTGTCAGTTTGTAGTCCTCAACCCAGAAAAGAATGAGCATTTTTGAGCCATGGGTTTTCTCTGGAATTTTTTTTTGAGTAGTAGTTTTCATCACATACAGTACCTAATTTTACTCATAAATCAAAAACTGCTATTCTAAAAAATTAGAAATATAAATTATAGATCACTTCCAACCATTCACATTTTTGAAAGATCATGTGATGACATATCTTTTAAAATCACCTTTTAATTATTACATTTAGTCTATTTAGCAATTATTATTATTACTATATCATTATTATTACAACTATTTCCATTTTTTTAATTCGTCGTCTTGGAATTATAAGGTTCTATCTGACATTTTTTTCAAAACTGAGCTATTCACATCTTATTCTGTGACAACTTATTTACATTATGTGATGTTTCTTTTGTAAGCTGTGTACATTTTGGGCCTTTTTTTAAGAAAACAAAAAGGGTTCTATCTACAGAAGTCTACGGAATGCAAAAACTTTGAAGCTCAATATCTCAAAACTGCTCAGAATGCAGATAGAACCTGTTAATTCCAAGGCGGTGAATTGTTTTCCCTGTTGTCTTATTTTATAGTTTGTTTTTCTTTTTTATTTACTTTTTGTTTTGTTTTCTTTCTTTTTTTTTAATAAAATATTCTTTATATTCTGACCTGTGAAGTATACAAATTTTGTGCTATAAAAAGGTGCTATAAAAATAAGATGTATTAAAATGTACAATCCTGAGGGAATCCATGGCAAATTCTCTGGTTTAGACTACAAATTAACATCATAACTGAACAGCGCTATAAAGATGTTTAAAGGCCTAAATCAACAGAGATCTTTTTACCATCTGTGTTCTGGAATACAGTGGAATGTTTGACAAAGGCCACATCACCATGACCTTCAACAAGACACCTGAGAATATAAACAGAGGCCATGATAAATATTTAGTTGTTATGCAAATACTCAATTGGTAAAACGCAAATTAGCACCAAATCTTTCAGATCTTTTCTGCAGTATAGTGGATTACCTGAAGGCTCCATCGTAACCGTCGTATAGGTCCTTGCCTTTTTCACACTGGTTCTGACCACTGGAGTCTCCAATGCACTGCTCACACAGGTTACTGGGAAAACCTTTCTGATTGGCTCCAGGTACACAGGCTGATTCAAAGAACTCCCCAGCAGCTAAAAGCAGAATCACACCCTCATTACACTGATTTTGCTATTTATATAGCAGAACAATATGCCTTTTGTTTCAGTAGCTTTGTAATAACTGATATAAAATTACAAGTGACATTCTGAGTAAAAAGCTGAAAGCTTTTCACTGTTGTGTTAGATCTTAGGAAGCCATGGTATGTGTGCACTACAGTACTTGTCCTACCTTGGGCCACTTGGCATGTCTGCGGTCTGATGATGCCTTTTTCTATTAGCAGACCCATGGGAATGTTCCAGCCTGCAGTCCTTCCATAACCTGTGTGACAGGAGCGCTTGCTCTTGAGGTCACTGAATCTCTGGATGTCTCTGTTGCTCTTCCTCAGCACAGCCACAGCATAATAAATACTTCCGTCAGTGTCTCCTAAGACAGAGAATCACAGTGGCTTGTTCCATTGTACAAAATGATATATATATATATATATATATATATATATATATATATATATATATATATATAGTTTAGTTTTTATTTACGTTTTGCTATGCTGTCTTTTTTCCTAAAATTTTTTTTTTTTTCTTCATATTTTAAATGTTTACTTCATATCTTATTGAAGCCATTTCAAATTAAAAAGCATATGGTCCAAAAGTCAAAGTACATTGAAAGTGTATGGCTCTAACCTGTGTAGCTCTCCCCGACAGCAGGTATCAAACCAAAACTCTTCCCCGCTGTGTAGATGTAACCTCCGTCAAGAGTGATGGCGTCAGCTTCCTT